CTTACAAAATGGCGTTAAGGATTGCATTGCCCTACTGGCCTAACAGTTTCTTTCTGGTTTAACCTGTCTCTGCATATGACAGACTGTACAGGAGTGGTCTCTACAAAAAATTAGCAATTTCTTCACTAATGATATTTAAAACACTGTTACTGTCACTGAACTTGGAAATAAAAGCCTGTTGTGCTCATGGGGAAAAACAACAAAATCTATATATAATCCTAGCTTGGCTAAAAATGCATGAATGTTTAGACACTAAACTCATAACAGAACTCATATAATTCTTAGAGGAATGCATATGATATCCATTTTTAGGTAACAAGAGGTACTTAAAAATTCAGCAACTCAGCAAGTGGTCATCATACAATATTTGAATATGTGATAACTGGAGTGATAAAATGTAAAATAAAATGCAAAAACAATAAGGAAAGTAGAAATGCATTAAAGAAAGGTTAAATGCATATAAAAGGTTGCCTGGACATAATTTAAAAATCAAGGATATAATTATTTAATTACTACAAGTAGTAAAAACCTTTCATAGGATTCTACTTCAACCATCTAACTTCAGTATATAATTTTTCTGAAATATTAAAATGCCAAATCTTATCCTGAAATCCTAAATTTATAAAGAATTAATAGCATACTAAAATTTGACATGCTTCCTATTTTAGTGTCTGATGTTGCAGACATCCTGTTTCCTGGTCTCTCCTGCAGAATGCAGTTAGGGAGCTTCAATATTAATTCAGTATAGTTCTGATTCCATTTATGCAACAAATTGGTTCCTGAAGGACCTAGTAAAAAATGACTTTTCCCCCCAGACATCTTGTTAGTACACTAAAGTAGTTCCCTATTTAAAGAAATAGCATTTAAGTCCATTTGTAACATGAGTTTCTTAGAGGTAAAATAAGTGTGTGCAACACACTAACTCACATGCTTCCTGCTGAAATTCATTTTTCCATATTTCACATTTCCAACAAAACTTCCATCTATATGAATGTACAGTCCCACCAGTTTATAATATCTCTGAACATGCCTTGACTTTTTTCATCTTTGCATCTCCTACTGGAGAAAATTTTAATCAGAGGTACAATCAGAATTTTCTTGAAAGTTTAAAAAATATATATAGCTGGACCCCATACCAATCCTACTGAATCCAGTGAGAAGAATAGAGTGAACATTTTGAAAAGTTTCTCAGGTGATTCGATCAGTTTGCATTCCTTCAGTAAGCTAAAGAGAGCTCTTGTCTAGTCGTGCTAACAGAAGTATTTGAGAAACAATTAGTGAAAGGAATTCCATAATCTTCTAAATTCTTCCACATTGTTGAGGGCCAATTCAAGGCTTCTGTCTGTTTAGCATCCCTCATTCTTCTCTATCTCTACCTTCATTCCTGTCTATGTATATCTCTGCTCTTCCACACTGTCATTACTGTTCAGTAGGAAAATCCTCTGTTTTATCCTGCCATCTGTTTATCCTGGGAATTACTTAAGTGTACGAACAATCTTGTATTTATTTTTATTAACTTTCACCATCATCCCAAGTTCTCTATATCTCATATTTTATTTCTTTTTTAAATATATTTTTTATTTATTTCCGAGAGGAGGGAAGAGGAGAAGAGAGATAGAAACATCAATGATGAGAGAGAATCATTGATCTACTGCCTACTGCATAGCCCCTACTGGGGATGGAGTCTGCAACCCAGGCATGTGCCCTGGTAATCGAACCCGTACCCTTCAGTCCACAGGCCAATGCTCTATCCACTGAGCCAAACCAGCTAGGGCTCATATTTTATTTCTTTTCTAGCACTTCTTATTACTGAAAATTATTTTATGTGTTGTGCCTTGTTTATTATGTGTATCCCCTTAATAGAATTTAAGGTCCTTAAAAACAAGGACCTAATGTCTAGAAGAGTATCTAGTTCTCCAAATACACTTGATGAGTAAATGAACTACCCAGACGATTCATTTTTGTGTGTTTCCATCCTATCAAACCATCTACCACCTTCAGCCCCATCTGCTTAGTCGTTGGTCTGCAAAAGCCAATCATGTTAAGGCTATAAAGAGCAAATAATTTTATTTTACTAGTATGTCAAGGTACCCAACAATCAAGTTCATGTAAACCTCTTTATGAAGGAACTATAAATCATATATTCTTTAGCATGGATAAATTCTAAGGTGAAAAAGTCGAAAATTATAGACGTCTAAACAGAGCTAACGCATTTACTTATAATATAGGAAACATTACTTATACATTAGAAAATTTCTTAATTTTAGTTTGGGGGTTCATGCATGTACTCATAAAAAGGGTCATGATGTAATTAATACTCAGACACTAGCACTATTCATAAAAACTTATGATTAATTATATGAACAAACACATCATTATACTTTGGTTATGTAGCACACCTTTTGGCATAGTCAAAGTGAGTTTGTTTCCACTATATGTATAAAATATTATCAGGATCCAGACACTAGGCGCCAAAATGAGTGGCTGGGTAGGAGCATTTGCCTTTAGGACTGCCCTTTACCTCACCAGGATAAAGAAGAATTGCTTTGCTACTTAATTTATTGAAATTGTCCCTCTTTGTCTGAGCTTAATATGCAGAATGTAAAGAATCTCACACGTACATGGGGTTGGTTTCCTTCTCATGCATATATTCCAGAATGCCAAGAGTCATCAAGCAGTAAAGCCATTGTGATTCGATTATGATGCTCTAAGTTACCCTGTGATGCACATAAAGTGTTCAAAATGGTTAGTCTTAATGTGAAGTAGGTACAAAGTGCATGGCTTGAAAATACTGAAGGAGGTTATTTCACTTGCTCTGTGAGTAGCTCCATTTATAAGAGTTTCTTAATTCTTTAATGTGATTAATATCATGGTTAGTAATAATAGTTACCATTTCCTGAGTACTCACGAAATGCTAGGATCTATGCTACTTGTTTATGTATCTTATCTCATTTGATCTGCTTAGCAGCAGATAGATATTTTTATTCCTATTTTCAGATGAAGAATCTAAGTCTTTCAAATATTAAGTAACTTAGTATGTGGTAGAATTTCTATATGAAAATTCAATTGGATTGAATCTAAAGGTCATACTAAGCACTAGCCATTGTGGCCCTATGATGCTTTGTTATGTTCCACACAAATGTATATTATCAGCCTCTAAATTTCCAATTGTAATGTGAAGAGCCAACTTTCACTTCAAAGTAAAACATTTATGATGACATACATGTACAACTTGCTTTGACCTCCATAAGAAGAAAGCTCAAGAAAGGGGGAAGAACAGAATTAAAAAGAAATGGACGTCTAGCAGAGCAGAAAGGTGCAAAAGTGTTGGCTCATGGCCTGAAGTCTAACCCAAATCTCCACCATCTTTTGAAATTTGTGGGCAGGTTCTGAATCTCATCTGCCGAAAAGGATGACAGTGCAGGCCCCTGCTTTACCCTCGGATGGGTGGTGCCATCTTTCTAGTCTTATTTTCAATTCTCAGTCTCACCTTGTCACCAGGTAGTCCTTCCATTTAAATTTTCTGCTGGGAAAACTACTGAGCGTACTCTCCCTCTTTCTACAAAGCCTCCCCTTGATACGCATGGGCAAAACTGAACTGCATCCTTGTTTCCCATTGCACTCTGAATCCTTATCATCTGATATAACAGGATTATTCTTCTAGCTGGCCCACAGCACACTGAACTGGACAGCAGGGAGCTGGTCATCATTTAATCTTCCTCTGTACTGCCTTCCCCAACCCCACACCCCACCCTCCACGCCCCGCATAAAAAACAAGTGGACTTCACAAAATATGCTCTCAATAAATGTTGAATATGAGAGAAGGCATGAGTCATGACAATATTCTGCTAAATGTATTATTTAGCCTACTCAGTATGATATGCCATTAAAAAGTAGCATTTGAAAAGTTTCTCAGAATTAGGACGCATGCTCTGTGACCACATTGCTAGAAAGCCTGCTTTACTGGAAGGATGGGGAAGAGATATGCATCTTCAGGACATGGAAACACTTAGAACAGTGCTTTTTTCTCTCAAGTCAAGGAAAATCCAGTTCTGGGGTTGTTTCTACATCACGGTTAGTCAAATTAAGCAGCTCTGGGTATAGTCTTGGGCACCACCCTTCATCCATATGCCAATATGCTACCAGTAGAGATTATTCCTTTGTGCTAAGTGTTGTTCTCTCCAGAAACTCTCTTTTTAAAGATCAGTTTAGTCTACATTCCTTTATCAGAATAGAAAGATTTTAGAGTCAGCTGAATGTGAATTTAAATTTATCTGGCTTCTGCCATGGCCTGCTGTGTAAAGTCCTCCTGGCTTTGAAAAGCTGGCATTTGTCCTCCTTGTAAAACAGGGAGATAATACTTTACCCAGCAAGGTTGTTGAGACGGTTTAATATTTCAAGTGTATAGTTTGTCGGTAATAAACGGTTAATATCAATTTTGATGAGCGCCCTGGGCCACCTAAAGAAATGGGAAGGGAGGTGGTTGAAACTGTGGCCACTTCATAGTGGTGGGTGGGAAAGGGCCCTTGGTTGAGATATAAGGAGGTGCGCGCTCTCTGGTCATTTATTGAATTTCATTTATCCTTGTTAAAGACACTGGGCTATCATTAAGTCACTCGGTCTTTTACATCTTCTGTTCCAATGAATCCCTACCTGTTGTAATATTAAAACCAACCGAAGTATACATGGAGGTTTTTCAGAGCGTTTGAAAAATTGGGACTTTGTCCGATACTAGGTCACAGCCTCCACTCCCGCCCTCAAATCTGAATCTGACGTTCTTTCTGTTTGCGGCTAGGGGTTTCATTTCCATTTCCTCCCAGCGGCTTTCTATGCTCGAGGTAGGCGGGGTGCCTCCATCCGTGTGTGGTTTTGGGGTAGTAACCTCTTCTGGGGCGGCGGCCGCCTCCACCCACGGCGGTGGCCTTGACGTCATGTCACGGGCGATGCCGGAGTCCCGCCCGCCCTATAAAGCCCCAGGTGAGCGCCGCGCCTCCGGTAAATTCGCACACCTCGAGCCAGCACCCGAGTCGGATCCCGGAGAACCCGAGGCGAGCTCCCCGCGCAGCGTGCGGCGCCCCGAGCCCGGCCGGGCCGGCGAGCACAGCCGCTCACTCCCGGTTTCCCCCTGGTCTTCCACCACCTCCTCCTCCAGCCGCAGCTCCCGATCCGGTTGCCCCAGAGACCGCGACGCCGCCGCGCCGAGGGACCAATGAGAGCCCCGCTGCTGCCGCGGGGGCCCGTGGTGCTGTCGCTGCTGATCCTGGGCTCAGGTGAGGACATCCCGGCTCTGATCCGCCCAGCGCTGCTCCCACCGCCCGCAAAAGCGCTCGCCTCTGGAGTTTTGCGGCAACTCCTCTAAAAAAATGCGTTTTGGGCTCCCAACTCTCCCGCGGGAGGTACTCACAGTAGCTTTACTCCCCGGGGTTGCCCCCTGGGAGGAAGAGAAAAGCAAGCAGGTGTCCCCCGTCCCAGGCCAGGAAGCGGTGCGGGAGACCCCGTCCTGTACTCAGCCGGAGGAGACCTGAGAGATCCTGTGATCCGCAGCCTCCGCTTTAGATAGAGAAACCAGGCGAAGTCCAGAGAGGTGACGTGATCTCTGCAGATTTCAGAGTTCTAAGCCCTGGACCCAGGCGTCTCGTCTAAATTCTGTCTAGCGATTTGGTTTTCACTTTCTTAGAGGACCTCGTATCGTCCCAGGTTGAAGTTCAAAGCACCAGTGTTTTCTTGAAGTCTAAAGGCTAAAGTTGGGGTACCTTACCTAGTTCCCAGGTGTTTTTTTTTTTTTTCTCCTCAATCAAGAACAACAATAATAAAACTGACACGAAGAATCATTATTGACTACCTTTTATGTTACTTTTTGCATTTTATGTACATGGGCTTTTGAAAATGTGAGCACGTGTTAAGGAAATCTGATACTTGTATCTAGAACCTGTCTAGGGTTCTAGGTATCATGGGGCAGGTGGCATTCTAGCAACCAATGCATTTGGTATGTGAAGAGATGGGAATATTTAGACAATACCTGTTAAGTAATTATGTGTGTTAGATTAATTTGCCTACTTGGCAGTATTATTTTTTTGATGTGGAAATTAATGTAGACTCTCCGTGGAAAAGAAAACCTCGATGAAAGAAGCTCTGTAATTGGAACAGCTGAGTTTGCTTGTTGGCAAAACGTGGAGTTGCTTTCATGAGTGACGCAATCGCAATAGCACATATGCAATAACTGCTTTGATATCAGAAGATAAACATTTCTCCTGAACGCAGCTGACTGGCGAGGAAGGCACTCTGCTTTACCTTTTCTTCCCTTGTTCTTTCTCCCACAGCCCATTATGCTGCTGGATCGGCCGCCAATGACACCTACTCTGGAAAAGGGGAACCCTTTTCTGGGGACTACAGTGCTGATGAATTTGAAGTCACCTCAAGAAGTGAGGTTTCCCTCGTGAGTGAGGAGCCTTCTGATAGTGAACTGTCCTCGGGGAGCGACTATGACTATGCAGAAGAGTATGATATTGAGAGGCAAATATCTGGCTATATCATAGATGATTCAGTCAGAGGTGAGTAGAGGAAAAGGCGAAAATGTATTCTCTGCAGTGTGTGCTTGTATGAGCAAAGCGAATTCCAAAGAAAAGCCGCTCCCTGAATCTTCCAGTGGCTTTATGGTATGTGTGGTTGTTGTATAGCCTGCTAGGTAAGCCCACAAACTGAAGTGGAAAGAGCTATATGAGGGCACATCCTATATGTCAAGATCTCTAATGTTTTATGTCTATTAAGTCTAATCTTCACAACAACTCTATAGGAAATATCGTTTCACAGCTGTGATCATTGAAGCTTGAAAAGGTTCAGTGTTCTGCTCAAGGTTCCATTAGCCAGTAAGCAGATGAGCCAGAATGAGAACTCCAATCTGATTCCAGATACTACGCTCTTTCCCACTGTGCCTTACACACCCTATTCTGAGAGACAGACATAGACACCTGCTAGTTCTGTCTCCTCTGTATCTCAGCTTCTTTTCCCTCTCCCACCATCACTCTTCCCTAAAGAAGTACATTCTAGCACAAGGGAACAGAGGGAAAGGAGCAATTGGACTTCAGCCTTAAGCACTAGGTGTTGAACAGGTAATTATAATATGTAATTATAATAGCATCTTCTGGAAATATTAAGGAACAGATATGCATGGATTTTACATCACTAAAATCACAATTTAACTCCAAATCCCATTTGTCTGCTCAATAATAGTGAGCCATAGTTTTATTCGCTTTGTCTGTTGGCTTTAGAAAATAACATTTACTTAAAATGAGAGTATCTAAGTAGGAGGTAAAGATTGTTCATTACCCTCATATTACTTCAGAGTTCAGGGACAGACAAGGTCATCAGTAAATCAGATCTGAATATCCTAGTATCATCCACTGTGAAGGCAGGACATGAGGCCCCTTCTCTACTAACATTAGCTTCCTGGACTTCTCCCTCTCTGTCTGGATCCCAGAACTGGTGAGAGAGGACAGGTGACACCATAGGGACAGTGACCTGCTTAAGTGACAGGTGGGAAAAGCTTTAGTGAACACTCCACTTTATTCCCTTGCTTCGGAACTTGTACTTCGATGTATGGTGGGAAGAGGTCCATTTATAATTCTTACTTTTGGAGAAATTATATTAGACCATTAAGATTCTAGAAACTGTTCTCTTAAAGATGTTTCCAGTTGTTAACATTTCAAAAGGTCAAATTGTTAGTAGTGAAAATGGCTAGTGGTTAAAATTGCAGTACATTGTGTGATAAGAGTGAAAACGTTGGTTTAACTCCTTTGAAAGGCTATTAAATCCAAGGGGTTATTCAGAATACCAACTATTTGCCTCTGTCTAAACTTTGTAATATGTCTGGTAAAATGCAATAATAGCCATTTACAATGTACCTATAAGAGGACTTATTCTAACTTGTGGCACTTTTTTAATATCAGAGGAAAGTTTCAGTATAAAAATTGAATAGCTACCTATTAAACATAGCTCCCAATTTGACTATTCTTAATGTTGTTGTAATAATCTGCTGAAATATTTATAATATTTATTTGTTGTTTCTTTAATCACAAGGTTCTATCTTGATACCCTTCCCTATGTTTCTAATGTTTTCCATTTAGTGGATACTGTAGGACCATTATGACTAATGGGATTATGACATTGACATTATGATCATTGCCTCTTGTCATTGAGCTTTGCTCAATATTTGGTAGGATAAGTCTATTCAGGGATTAATACTACAAAAAGCACAGCTCTAACATGAAAACTCCTCCTTTCTATATTTAACATGTAGGGAAAGTATACCCTGCATAACTATGACAATGAAAAAAAACATTTCTGTGGATCTGGGAGTTAAGATGAGTCTCTGAAGCATCAAGAACAAATATATCTAGACTCTATTTTTTCAAATTGATTGACCACAGAAATGAACCCCCTGGAAGGTATCGATTAATTATAGTCCATTGTAAGCTGGGAGTTGGAGAAAACGGATGATCTCTAACGTATAAGCTTCAGGTTTTCCCACCCTCAGGCAATGCACACTAATTCCCAATTATGATAGTGAGCACTAGACCCATATGGATAAATAAAAGCCACAAATATGCCCATGTCCCACTTTATGACATTAAATGACATTGACCTTTTCCAAGAGAAAACATTATGGAGTGGGGAAATGACAGGCTGTAAAGTCCCAGCACTGCCATTTGCAAGCCGCCTGTCCCAGGGCCAGTTATTTATCTTCACTCAACTTCAGGGTTCACCTTTATATCATCTGGGTAGCAATACATTTCACTGTTATTTGAGTTTAATTCATTTAAATACCAAGAACTTGGTATTTACTAGAAATTTGAAAACTGTTTAAAATATTTTATGGGTTTTCTTGGACAGGGAACCCATATCATCAATAATGATAATAATGATACATATAAATTCAAAATATGTTTCTAAGTGAATAAATAACAAAGGGGTTCAGATTTATAAGTGCCACACGATACATGTATTCTCTTTGCCCTATTATTGTGTATGAATTGTGTTAAATAATGAGACAAATATGCTGTTTATTCCCATGAGCTCTCACTATTAGGATTTCTTTCTATCATGTCTCCAAAATGATATTCAAAATGAAGAGAGACTTGTCAATAAATCTTTTTTTTTTTTTTTTAGTTGAACAGGTAGTTAAACCCAAGGAAAACAAAACAGAAAGTGAAAATACTACAGACAAACCCAAAAGAAAGAAAAAAGGACCGAAAAATAGAAAAAATCGAAAAAACAAAAAGAAAAATCCATGTGATACAAAATTTCAAAATTTCTGCATTCATGGAGAATGCAACTATATAGAGAATCTGAAAACAGTATCATGCAAGTAAGTTTTCCTAAGTTATGTAGAATTCTGTATTTCTAACACCATGTCTGAAACTTCCAGCTGCAGAAAACCATTTTCATATTTCCAATGTATAAACCAAGAGTCTGCAAACCTTTTCTTAAAGAACCAGACAGTAAATATTTTAGACTTCCTGGGTCAAGATTATGTATGTACTTATACAACAAATTAAAAAGTAACTGGGAAGCCCTGAGAGGTGTGGCTCTGTTGGTTGGGCATCCCCCTGTGCACCGAAAGGTCGACAGATTCTGGGTCAGGGTACATGCCCTGGTTGCAGTCTAGATCCTTGGTAGGGGCATGCAGGAGGTGGCTAGTCAATGTTTCTCTTTCACATTGATGTTTCTCTCTCTCTTTCTCTTTCTCTCCCTCTCCATTCCTCACTCTAAAAATCAATTAAAGTGTAAAAAACATTTTTGGCTTATACACTTTAAAAACCCTGACAATGGCCAGATTTGACCCATGTGCTGTAGTTGGCTGATCCCTGGTACAAACCATTTTACAACGTAGGTTTTACAAAACCTCTTTGTAAAAAATGACCTAAAGATACTTTTCACATAATGTTCTTCTACCCTCCTTCCCCCCAAAAGCTGCTAGTACATGAAACGATAGTGAAATGTTTTAGCTGCATAACAAATCACTGAACTCATCGGCTGGTCATAAAAGGAGCACAAAGAAAGAAAAGGTGTGTCTTCCTAGAATAACACCCAAACTAATCTCAACTTGTTCTTTTACGAACAGAACTTTGGCTCGAATGCACTGTATGTCTTAGAATTTGAAATACAAATAAGGCGTGCTTTATTTTTTAAATATTAGAATTAAATGGCTATAACCTGGAAAGTAAGCCTAAAATATATAAAATGTTTTTAGAGATTATAATTTTGAAATGTGGGTTGTTTACAGATGTCATCAGGATTACTCTGGTGAACGGTGTGGGGAAAAGTCCATGAAGACTCACAGCATGGTTGATGGTGACTTATCAAAAATTACGTTAGCAGTCATAACTGCCTTTGTCTCAGCTGTGACCTTCGCTGTTGTTGCTGCTGTTATTATAATCCAGTAAGTATGGCATAACTTAAACATTTCTCATGAAATCATGCCAGGTTAATTTCAATATTTTTATTATAACATACTATCATATTTCAAATCAATTATTCTATTGGTGGCATGTGATCTTTGGTCATATCTTTATACTCCATTGACAAAGATCACAGTATGGTCCAAATTTATGTTACTTTGACCACCACAGAAACTTAATATGTAAAGGCCTTTTCCACAAAATCTAGACATTTTTTGAACTTGAAAATTGATGGTTTTGTTTCATGTTGTATTTCTACTCATGACTACTTTCAAGTTTCAGAGTGTTGGTATCTACTATGAGTATTTAAGCTTAAGCTAGCCTCCCGGAATCTAAGGCCTGGTTCAAAGTAGGTTGTCAGAGATACTGCTTTGATACTAAAAATCACAGAGAGCTTCAAAGCAGGAGCCCAGAAAAGACATGTCTGCTTTTATTAGAATGCAAAATTCCAAATTAGGAATTTTATAGCATGATCCTAATTTACTTAGAGCTTATGCCTATTTTGTTATGGTCAAATGCAATATGGGAACTCAATTATTAAAAACACACAGCATTTCCTCCATGTGGAGGTATGGTATGGCGTAGGAAGCAGGGACAATTCTATTACTTGTTTCGCTCCTGCAATATCCTCTCTGTGCTCACAGTAACAGATCACATACTTCACTTCATGACCAATGAATGCTAGAACTAGACTGTTCCGGCTTGTAGACACTGGTGGGTATGTCAAAATGGCATTGTCAAACAGAAGTCAGTGAATTAAGGAAGCTGGGGGAGGGTGTGAATGGCTCTATGATGACTCATGTGCTACTAGAGCTTGGGAAAAGCAATAGACTCATTATTCTAATTTTAGGTCTTGGTAAATTACTTTAACAACTAGATTGTGTACATGATCCACCACTCTTGCCATTCAGGAAACAAGGGGTTATCTCTGCCATTGTTTACTATTATTTTAAATGCGGATCAGATAATGATAAAATGGCACATAAAAAAGGAACACTGTTTTATGGTGCACATAAGGTTTGATCTGTGGTTTAAATTTGTTTTGCACACCCTAGAAATGATGTTGATCTGTTAGTACCTCAAGCTAGATATGCAGATGTGTTTAGGAAAGATACCCTCAGACAAACCATTATTATTTGACATAGGAGAGAAAGAAAAAAAAAGTTGCCAATTAAAGATGTTTTGAAGTAATTATTTAACCCTGTAATTATTCAAGTTGAAATATTTAATAATCCTATGGAAAACATGAAAAAAACTTTATCATGTTGGTTTGGTTTGGTGTAGGGTATAATGTATAATGGTCTATAAAGGATGCACAAAAAGGAATTCCCTGTACTCATGAAAACTCCAGTTAATATATGATAAATAAAACTTTGATGACAGTAGAATATTTTGTTCTCTAAAGGCTTCGAAAGCGATACTTCAGGGAATATGAAGGAGAAGCTGAAGAACAAAAGAAACTTCGACAAGAAAATGGAAATGCACACATCATAGCATAAATGAAGATGATATTACAGGTTTGTATTTTAAAAGATACCATTAGATCACATAATATAATTTTGAAAAAAATATAGCATCTCTTAAGAAAAATGAGGAAAGTAAGTGTTCTTAATTATGGATACACTGTGAACATTGGTTACATTTAAAGTGCTATTCTTTAAACATGAGGTGGAGTTCAATATTGAGAAAGGGCTCTGTCCTTAGTATTATAAGGGATATAAACATGAGGGAAACATAGATGCTCTTCTCAATAAACTTAATGTTTAGTAGACAGAAAATTGGGTAAGGAACCAGAATACTAGGTGAAGTAAAATGTGTGTCATGAGAAAGGAACCAATGTTGTTGCAAAGGACCATATTTCATCTTTTCTTATGGCTGAGTAGTATATATATATATATATATATATATATATATATATATATATATATGACCACATCTTCTTTGGATCCTGAGAATATCATAGTAAGCTAGCTAAGTAAGACAGAAAAAGCCAAGAACCATATGATTTCACTCATATGGGATATAAAACTGAAAGCAGTAAATGAACAAATGAGAAAAATAAAAACTTATGACGCACACAATGGTATGATGGTTTCCAGTGGGAAGGAAGGTGGAGGGGGAGTGAAAGGTAAAGGAGATCAATTATATGGTGACAGAAGCCTTGACTTTGGGTGGTGGGCACACTATGCAATATACAGATGATATATCATAGAAATGTACCCTTGAAACCTATATAATCTTCTTAACCAATGTCACTCCAATAAATTAATTTTTTAAAAAAAAGAAAGGAACCAATAGGATATGAGGAGTTTCCAATGAAGGGGTAGAAGGAATCCAGTAGGATGCATTTACAGAGCAGGAGAGAATGGATATATCGGGTGGCATTGGAGTAAGCCTTAAAGGACTGATGAGATTGGGACAAGCAATTATGAAAGAAGAGGAAGATTAATGCTGTAAGATGCACTAGGTTATTTGGAAACTTGTGACAAATAGCCTAGTTCAAATGCAAGTTGGGGGAGAGTAGGTTGAAATGATAGATTGGGCTCACGTGATGGAGAGCTAAAGTCGGAGTGCTTGCATTACAAATGTGAGGTGGAGACAGCAGGTTGAATATCCTTTTAAAGGAACAGAGTAGGAAGGGTGAAGGGGGTGCAGATTTGTGAGAGCTTGGTTAGAGTATATGTTGCAGTTTTTATTTTTAATTTTTTTGTAAAGAAGATGAGTTGAGCATGTTGGTAGGAAGAAGGTAAGAAAGTATGGAGAGGGATATTTGATAGATAAAGTGAACACTAATGAAGCAAACTTCTAGAGGAAGAGGGAGGCAAGGAGCTCAAGGACACACTTAAAATCAGTCAGAAGAAGAAACTCTGTTTCCTCAGACATTTAGGAAAGAGGCCCCATCCTTAAGTCATTGATATTTTCCCCTTTGATGAGTTTAAGAATGACTTGAGATGCTTATTAAATATGCATATTCTTAAGCCAAATTCCATATTGACTAAATCAGCATTTTCATTTTAAATTAACACTCTAGATCAGCCGTGGGCAAACTACGGCCCGCGTGCTGGATCCGGCCTGTTTGAAATGAATAAAACTAAAAAAAAAAAGACCGTACCCTTTTATGTAATGATGTTTACTTTGAATTTATATTAGTTCACACAAACACTTCATCCATGCTTTTGTTCCGGCCCTCCGGTCCAGTTTAAGAACCCATTATGGCCCTCGAGTCAAAAAGTTTGCCCACCCCTGCTCTAGATGCTTGCTTGGGAAAATACCCCATTTAACATTGGTATGTTGCAAGCTTATTACATAACTAACTCAGTAAACTCAGGAAATGGGTAATTATCCATGCCAATGCTATACTCAGGTCTTTATTGTATAAAAACGTATTAATGTAAGGGCTTAATGTGCTGATGTTAAGGCTACCAACATGAATGAGGGTGGATTTTTGTTTTTTTTAGTGCAACTGAGATTTCTTTTTTAATTTTTTATTATTTTTATTGAATTCATTAAGGGTGGCATTGGTTAATAAAAATATATAGGTTTCAGTTGTACAATTCTATATCGTCTGTATATTGTATTGTGTGTTTACCACCCCAAGTCATGTCTCCTTCCATCACTATTTATCCCCCCTTTATCCTCCTCTCCCTCCCAAGCAGGTCCCAGATGATTTTAGGTAAAGGAATATGCTGTGCTGGCACACAGTGGCTGCCTATTAACTGGTAGCTACTATTATTATGCTCTCGCTACTAATTATCTTAAATTAACTGTATAACATAAATACACTGAGCCACTTAACCTTTGTTTTTAACTATGTCCACTGCATAGATTTGGTTACTGTTGTTGCCTCTTATTAAGCAGAATTTGATGGGACAGGTTTAAGCATAAGCAGCCTTCTACCTAAGCAGGCAGGTAACCAAAGGAGGTGTGAAAGAGGGATTCAAATTAGTGTGATAGTCTGGCTCTGAAACGCTTGTGGCATTCTTCATAAGACATCCTAGAAATACAAGCTGACAGAAATTCTGATTCTTCGACATATTCTTAAAGCTGTGTTGGAACTGAGCCTCTTTCTAACACTTCATTTTATTTTTGAACAGGGATCGGAGTCACTGCCAAGTCACAACCAGGAGTGATGAGTTGGTTCCTCTTTTCAGTGGATCAGGAAACAGAACGTTCTTGTTCTAATGGTTTTAAACTTTCAATTGCCACTTTTTATGCAAGTCTTATATCTGTATATAAAGATGCATGGAGAGAAAAAGTATTTTTTCAGGTTGTAAATAATTTATTTAATATTTAATGGAAGTGTATTTATTTTACAGCTCAATAAACTTTTTTAATCAAACAGATGGAGAGTTTGAATGTTGAGAGTTAGTTCTGAGATTGTAAGACTGGAGTATTTCCTCATAACACTTAGGTGGTTGTTTTAAAAGGAGTTCCTTCCGTTTTCTTCTTCTTTTTTTTTTTTTTTTACTGGTTTATGTTCATCTTCAAAACGTATTCCTTTTCTTAGAAAGCATTCATCATGGGAAAATTATAAACTTATTTTCTCCCACTTAGTTCTCCCACAAATACTAATGTCTCAAACTGGCTTTCTTATTTCACGTAGAGTTTATTCCAAGTCCTGGTAATTATAAAAGCCTCTAAAATGAACATATGACACTGCATAGACACTGATAATATAAAAGAGAGAAAATCTACTCCTCATCATCATCATCACCATAAATAAGGGGACATGAATAGGACTGAATATCACAAATGTGGCATTTCAAGAGAACGAGAAAGTACTTAGATTTGAAACTCTTTCCCTAACATCATGGCATGGATGTATAAAGCATCTAAAACCCACACCTCCTTTTCCTCCTCTTGCTACATTTTCTTACATCTTTTAAAACAAATACATGTGTATTTGTGGTGGGTAGGCTTTCAAGAACATTAATGTTATGGAATGACTCACAGTCTGGTTCCTGGCTGCTCAACTAAGTTACCTGCACACAAAACAATCTTTAAAATATGTGGAGAGCATCTTGGGGAAATTAACCAATAATAAGCATAATCCCAGCAATCATCACACAGAATTTCATGAATGAAAGCTGCCTTGCACATCAGTACTTCTTCCATCTGTCTCTAGCATACAACGTATGAAATTCTTGCCCATTGATCATCTAACCGATTGCTACCCAGCCTCACCTGCACATTGTCACGTGAGTTTTAAATGACTACATGCCCAGGCTCCCCCTTCTGACCTTCGGATTTAAAGGAATGGGGTGTGGGATTTTGTTTTGTTTTTGCTTAATTCCTTTGCCTTTTTCACCAAACCCCTCCCCTCTGACAGCTGTCAGTCTGTTTTCTGTACCTTTAAGTCTGTTTCCACTTTATGTGTTTGTTTTGTTCATCAGATTTCTCATTTAAGTGAAATCAGTGTTATTTGTCTTTCCATGACTGGCTTATTTCACTTAGCATAATACTCTCCAGGTCCATCCATACTGTTGCAAAAAGTCAAATTTCCTTCTTCGTACAGGCCAAGTTGTATTCCACTGTGTAAATGTACCACAGCTTTTTTATCCACTTACCTACTGATGGGCACTTGGGCTGTTTCCAAATCTTGGGTATTATAAATAATGCTGCAATGAACATAGTGGTGCATATATTCTTTCGAATCAGTGTTTTGGTTTTCTTCGGTTATATTCCCAGAAGTGAAGTTGCTGGGTCATAAGGCAGTTCCATTTTTAATTTTTAAAGGAAACTCCATACTGTTTTCCACAGTGCTGCACCAATCTGCATTCCTACCAACAGTGCACAAGTGTTCCCTTTTCTCCAGCACTTGTTTGTTGATTTATTGATGATAGCCATTCTGACAAGTGTGAGGTGATATCTCATTGTGGTTTTAGCATCTTTTCATATATCTGTCCTCCATCTGTATGTTTTCTTCAGAGAAAAATCTATTCATTTTTAAACTGGATTATTTGGTTTTCCTTTGGTGTTGTATAAGTTCTTTATAAATTTTTGATATTAACCCCTAGATGTATGATGGGTGAATATGTTCTCCCATTCAGTGGGTTGTCTTTTCATTTTGTTGATGGTTATTTTGTTGTGCAACAACTTTTTAATTTGATGTAGTCCCATTTGTTTATCTTTCCTTGACTGAGGAGACATATCAGGAAAAAAATATTGCTACAAGAAATGTCTGAGATTTTACTACCAATGTTTTTTTTCTAGGATTTTTATGGTTTTGAGTCTTACATTTAAGTCTTTAATCCATTTTAAGTTTGTTATTGCATATGGTGTAAGAAGGTGGCCTAATTTTATATTTTTGCACATATCTATCCAATTTTCAACACCATTTATTGAATAAACTATCTTTACCCCATTGTATGTTCTTCCTATTTTGTTAAATATTGATTTACCATTGATCTGTATGTCTTTTTATGCCAATGCCAATAACATGCTGTTTTGATTACTATGGCCTTGGAGTATATAGTTTGATATCAGGTAGCGTGATTCCTCCAACTTTGTTCTTTTTCAAGATTGCTGTGGCTATGTGAGGTTTTTTGTGGTTCCATATGAATTTTTCAAGTATTTGTCCTAGTTCTGTGAAATACATCATTGTTATCTTGATAGGAATTGCATTGAATCTATAGATTGCTTGGGTAGTATGGACATTTTAATGATGTCCATTAACATGATATATGCTTCCTTTTATTTGTATCTTCTTCAATTTCTTCCTTCAGTATCTTATAATTTTCTAAGTACAGGTCTTTTACATCCTTGGTTAAATTTATTCCAAGGTATTTTTTTATGCAATTTTAAATGGGATTTTCTTAGTTTCCCTTTCTGATAGTGTATTTTTGCTGTATAAAAATGCAACCTATTTCTGGATATATATTTTGTATCCTGCTACATTACTGAATTTGTCAGTTCTAGTAGTTTTTTGGGAAATCCTTAGGGTTCTCTATATATAGCATTGTGTCATCTGCAAATAATGAGTTTTATTTCTTCCTTTCCAATTGGGTTGCCTTTTATTCCTTCTTATTGTCTGATTGCTATAGCTAGGACTTCCAGTACTATGTTTAATAAGAGTGGTGAAAGCGGACATCCTATCTTGACTATGAAATACAGACAACAGTATGGTAATTACCAGAGGGAAAGGGGGCTGGGTGGGGGGAGGTAGACAAGGGGAAAGAGGGGATAAATGGCAATGGAAGGAGACTTGACTTGACGTGGTGAACACACAATCCACATACAGATGATGTGTTATAGAATTGTACACCTAAAACCTATATAATTTTATTAATCAATATTATCCCAATAAATTAAACAAAAATAATAAATTTAAAAAATGAAAAGTGCCCTGACCGGTTTAGCTCAGTGGATAGAGCGTTGGCCTGCGACTGAAAGGTCCCAGGTTCGATTCCGGTCAAGGGCATGTACCTTGGTTGCAGACACATCCCCAGTAGGAGGTGTGCAGAAGGCGGCTGATCGATGTTTCTCTCTCATCGATGTTTCTAACTCTCTATCCCTCTCCCTTCCTCTCTGTAAAAAATCAATAAAATATATTTTTTAAAAAAATGAAAAGTCAAAAAAGATGCTGTGAAGTGGATCACAGATCATTTATAGATAAATCACCCAGGCAACTCAATGTTTTGGCCTGTTTAGTGTAAAATAGTTGACACCTGAAACCTGCATAATTTTGTTAACCAATGTTACCTGAATAAATTCAATAAAAACGAAGGGATAAAATCAATTTGCAAAATAATGAACAACAACAAAAAACCCCTACATAAAATACTTCTAGAAACAGAGAACAAATTAATGGTTGCCAGAGAGGATGGGTTTGGGGGGATGGGTGAAAAAGGTTGAAGGGAAACAGTCAATAATATTGCAATAGCTTTGAATGGTGACAGATGATTACTAGATTTAGTGTGGTGATCACATTGTGAGGTATATAAAAGTCAAATCACAAATGTTGTACACCTGAAACATCTAATAGTGTATGCAAACTATACTTTAATAAAAATTTAAGAAACAACAACATAGATTGGGGTGGGCCATTGCATCTGTATTTTTTAAAGATTCCTAGGTATTTCCTATTTAAGGCTTGTGCTGAGAACCTCTGATTCACCTCAGCCTAAATATCTACAGTATACATTTTCTTCAGCCTTACTCACTAGACATTTATTGTGGATGATTCAAGTATAGTGCTAGAACATGAAGCAAATCTCTGACTTTATATGTTTTCCTTCTAGTTGGTGTGAGAAAGTGCAGTAAATAACTGGATGAGGTGTTTACCAAGATCCTTGGGTGTTCAGGGAGCTCTCACCTCACTCAGCCTGATAAGTTAGGGAGGGCTTCCTACAGAGAAGCTGCCCCAACATTATCCTTGAAGAATGAGTAGGAGTGACAGATCATTATAGGTACAAACAAAATTGTGAAGTCATTAAACAGTACGACCTAAAAGTGAAAACACATAAAATAGTTTAGTGTTATTGAAACAGGAAGTGTGAAGTCAACAGGCTGCAACGGAAGCTGGAGTGGTAAGGGCAGGGTCACATAGGGACTTTGACTTACACTCTAGGCCATGAGGAGCCATTAAAGCCAGTTGATCAGTACTATAAACTTGATCAGATTTGCATTCCAAGTAGGTCACAGGCAACCATATGTAAAAAGGGACTTGAGCCAAAGCCAAAGGGTGGAAGATTGTCTTGGAAGCAGTTGAAATACGCCAAGCGAGAAATGAACACCTGAAGCTGGGAAGCAAAAGCAGGGAAAGAGAAACTCAACCTGTATTTGAATGCTTTTTCTGAAATAGTTAAAAGCACATACACAAAAAAAACTTATTTATTATAAAAGTAAGGCTGAGCATAATGAGGAAGGTGAGAGAAAAGGGGAAATCTAAGATGACCCTCAGGTTCCTGGCTTTCGGTGGCTAGGCAGATGGTGACATCATAATTTAAAGTAGGGAGTTTTTTGAACTAGCATAATGAATATTCTAAGTGGGAAGCATGGCTTTTTAGTTGTCCTTGATTGGCTCTTCTCTATTTTGCAAAGTCATCCTTACCAATCTGTAATGAACTTATGAGGCAATAAGTACCAACCAGCTCAGTCAATTAGTCCACTGAATCAACCCAGGCCCTTACCTCATATCTGAGATTGAGCAACTAAGAAGAAAAGTCCAGTTCTGAAAGTATGATAATGAGTTCTGCTTTGGATCTGTTGAGTTTGGGACATCAGGAGACACCTAGTAAGCATTTAGATACAGTCAGAAGTTCAGGAAGAGCAAGAATTATAGATTAAGAGTTGCCAAAATATATATGGTAATTGCAACCACAAAAGCAGCTTCAAGGTAACCTAAGGAGGCTATAATGAGTCTGAAGAAAATATGTTTATACTAGAGGCCCAGCGCATATTCGTGCACTGGGGGGGAGGGTCCCTCAGCCCGGCCTGCACCTTCTCGCAGACCTGGACTCCTTGGGGGATGTCCGCCTGTTGGCTTAGACCTGCTCCGGGCAGTCAGACATCCCCCCAGGGGTCCTTAGTGCTGCTGCAGAGGCAGGAGAGGCTCCCACCACCGCTGCTGCACTTGCCAGTCCTGAGCCCGGCTTCTGGCTGAGCGGCACTCCCCCTGTGGGGGCTCAATGACTACCAAGGTGAAGCTCCTGTGTTGAGCATCTTCCCCCTGGTGGTCATTGCACGTCATAGTGACCGGTCATTCCACCATTTGGTCAATTTGCATATTATGGTTTTATTATATAGGATTGACAAAATTTCCCAGTTGTTACCAAACACTTAGAGTAAGGACCCTATTTATAGCCACTGTGAAGGTTTTAGGCACTTATCTGTTATTCCATGTACTTTTCTATCCTTTAAAATAAAAGTTTAGCAAACTGTTACAGTGGAATAGAAGAAAAAACTACTACTTTCATAATAAAAATAATAGTTTTAAGTTTATTAAGTACTCAGATATTCCCACAGATTGTTCTTTTTAAAAATATTTTTAATTGATTTTTGAGAGAGAGAGGAAGGGGAAGGGACAGAGAGAGCTAGAAACATCAATGAGAGAGAAACATCATCAATAGGCTGCCTCCTGCATGCCCCCCACATGGGATTGACCCCACAACCTGGGCACATGCCCTGACCTGATTGGGAATTGAACCAGTGGCCTCTTGGTTCCTGGGTCGATGCTCAACCACTGAGTTACACCAGCTGGGCCCCCACAGACGGTTCTAAATGCTTTATACATAGTAACTCATCTAATCTCCATAACTTTTAGAAAGTAAGAACATTTTAGAGATAAATAAAGTAAGGCTCAAGGAGATTACGTAACTTATCCAGGGTCACACAGTTAGTAAATGACACTGAGGCTCTCTGCCTCAGAGCGGGGTTACTTAACCTCCTTTCTCTGCTAGTGCTCCTATTGTCAAGGTGCTTGCTTTGGGTAGGAATGCTATCTCCATTCCAGCTTAGCATGGTTTAAAACCTCTTAAAATAGCTGGTTTATTTCTACCAGACTCAGAGAAGATGACACTTTCTATCTATCTATGCTGCCTTTACAAAACTTCCCAATCTATACATTCTCACAGTACAGAATACACATCTTACAGTTAACCCACCCAAAGGGTAAGGAAGCTAGAAGAATTATCCAT